GTTGATTTGATTTTGGGGTTTTGCTTTTCTCAGAGTGACAAAGAACATGATGTTAGATGAGCAGGGACATGGAGAGGATCTGGGGGGACCTGGGGGAGGGGAAAGAATATGATTAAAATACATTGTATGAAAAATTTAAATAAATAACACTCATAGATTGGGCTGGAGAGATGGCTCAGCCATTAAAGGCTAGACTCATAACCAAGAAATGTTCATAGATTGTAATCATTAATGTAAACATTAAATCAAACTTATCTTCCTGTATCATCCCCTAACCTTTTCCTTGTTCAAGATGAGAAAGCTTCACAATAAAAGTCCTACCAGAATAGGACACAGTATTTGGGAGGCAGAGGCAGGAAGATTTCTGTGAGTCTGAGGTCCTACATAGAAGACTTTGTCTCAGAGAGAGAGAGAGAGAGAGAGAGAGAGAGAGAGAGAGAGAGGGCTACTAACACTTTAGATTCTTAAGCACAGGCTCACGTTCTAAGTTGTCTGTGACCAACAAATTAGTAAGTAGGGCAAGCCATGATTAAAATGAGATACCTTCTGTTCTGAGCATGAAAATCTTTCCCATTCACTCCTAAAAATACATACCAATGCAGATAAAATAGGAAAAATGAGCAGTATGCAAAAGTGGCTGTCCCCTGAGATGGTTCTCCTGCTAATTGCTGTATAGAATTTCATGGCATCAAAATTCTAGAGTTTACCCATTATGTTTTGAGAAAGAAGTCACTGAATTGCTTCTTATACTGTTCCTTTTGAGACAACATGACTGGGAACATGTCTGTATACAGCTCTGGTGCTTATATGAAAGAGTTTCTCTGGTTTTTCATAGAGTCAAATCCTGAGACAGAGGAGGTGGAGATCTTCAATACTGAAAGAACTGTCATATTGATGGAGCTTGTTTTGTTCTTATTCTTAAAAGCAATAAGAATGAAGTTATAGCCGGGCAGTGGTGGTGCATGCCTTTAACCCCAGCACTTGGGTGGCAGAGGCAGGTGGATCTCTGAGAGTTCAAGCCCAGCCTGGTCTACAGAGCGAGCACCAGGACAGCCAGGACTATACAGAGAAACCCTGCCTCAAAAAACCAAAAAGAAGAAAAGAAGAAGAAGAAGAAGAAGAAGAAGAAGAAGAAGAAGAAGAAGAAGAAGAAGAAAGAAGAAAGAAGAAAAGAAGAAGAAAGAAGAAGAAAAGAAGAAGAAAGAAGAAGAAGAAGAAGAAGAAGAAGAAGAAGAAGAAGAAGAAGAAGAAAAGAAGAAGAAGAAAGAAGAAGAAAAGAAGAAGAAGAAGAAAGAAGAAGAAGAAGAAAAGAAGAAGAAGAAGAAGAAGAAGAAAGAAGAAGAAGAAGAAGAAGAAGAAGAAGAAAAGAAGAAGAAGAAAAGAAGAAGAAGAAGAAGAAGAAGAAGAAGAAGAAGAAGAAGAAAGAAAGAATGATATTATTGAATTTGACATTTAATGTTTGTTACTAAAAGGATTATGGAAATTTACCTCATTATTTTAATTTGTGTTTCATTGATTGTAAACAAGGCTGATCATTTTTGCATTTTAAAAACATTAGTTCTTTAACGGTTTTATACAATGTGCTTTAATCACATTCACTACCCCCACCTCTTCCCAGACTCACTCCCTTCCCTACTACTTCTATGTCTTCCTCTATTTTTAACCCATCTAACAATTGCCAATAAGTCACTGCTAGGTGCTCAGCTTCCCTCTCCATGCTGGTATTTGATCTGGCTCAGGCTTGCACAAGTGTTATGCACGCTGTCACAACTGCTGGGTGCAGGAGACACTGCCTCCTTGTAGTCATCCACCACCTCTGGTCCTTATATTCTTTTTGGCCCCTTTCTCACAACAATCTCTAAGCCTCTGGAGGTGGGGTCCAGCACACATGCTTCATTTAGGGCTGAAAATTCTTCAGTCTATTGTCCTCTACACCTTGGCCAGTTTGTGTCCCTGCCTTAGTCACTGTCGACTGAAAGGAAAAAGCATTGCTTGTTTCTCATTCAATTTATTCTGGAATTACCTATTCATGCACTTCTCTGTTTTATGAGGGTATTTGTGCTTTCCTGAAAGATGGGTTTCATGGGTTTCATGTTCTGTATACCAACCTTCTGTGGGTCATGTGCACTGCAAATACCTCCCGATCTTCAGCTTGATGTTCCCTTTATGAAGTGTGCTGTACTGTATGGGGCAGTGGGGAAGGAGTGTACACATGTATGTGCACGTGGGCATTTAGTGCCTATCCTTTTCTTACTGTTCTAAGTTTTCTCTAAAATATATCTTCAAGATAAGACCATCAAAACTTCTACGTTTGGAAATTTTAGTCTCTTGTTTTTTACAACAAGACCATGAGTCAACTTGGTAGATGATGCCATTGTTATGCAGTGTTTATTGGATGCCCAGGCTTCCCAAATGATTTGGCCTTTATCATGTACCAAATTTTTATATGTGTTTGTTTCTGTTTCTGGTGCTCTCTTTTGTCCTGTTGTGCCATCTTCTACTCCCGTGTCAACAGCCATTGTGTTAATTGCCGCAGATCTGCAGCATGCTGATATGTGGCTTGATTCTCCAAACATTTTTATTTTTCAAAGTTTTCTTTTTTCTTTTTGGTTCCTGATTTTTGTATGAGAATATAAGGGACCTATGAGTCCCCTTCCCCCCCACCAAGAAAAAAAAAAGAGGAAACCTTTAGGTTTTATTAGAATTTCTTTGGGGAATAATTAAAATTGTTTGTTGAAGACGGCTTTTCTTTCGCTATCCAGTATTCTAACCCATGAATGTGATAGCATTCTAAAATAATTCAGATACTTTTTTCATGTCCTTCTGGAACCATAATTTTTCTTTGATAAATTCAAGCTAACCTTTTTCCTACAGCATTTTCTATCTGGTTATGTGTTAGTATTTCAGAATATTATTTAAATTTTTAACTTCAAATGGTAGTGAAATATTCAATAAAATTAGTCATTTTAAGAGTACATATCAATCAGATTAAGGATATTTTTTAGAAATTTTCAGACCTTTTTCATCCTACTTTCCATCTCTTTGGAAACTTCCTATGTATTCTGTTTCTATTCTCAGCTCTATGTAACTTACATCAGTGGAGTTATACTGTATTTGTTTCCTTATGATACCTGCATTTCATATAGCTAATATATTCAAGGTTCATTCATGATATAGCATGGATCAGCTTCCACTTTCCTTTTGAAGACTAAGACACACACAAACAGACACACATACACACACACTCACACACACACCTCCCACATTTTGTTTATCCATTCATCTGCTGATGGATGACAGGCTCCATATCACCTTTGCCTTCACCTTATGGCTACTGTGAACAATTTTGCTACGAATGTGAATACACGGGTATCTCCTTAAAGCCTTGCTTTCGATTCTCTTGGATATAGACTCAATTATGTGGACAGATCATATAGCACTTCTGTTTTTAATCTTTTTGAGGAATTTCCATCCTGTTTTTCATAGTAAAAGCAGCACCATTTTCCAAAGTACCCATGCAATTGATTTTTATGTTAGTTTTTTTTTTTACAAACTTTAAAGAGAAAAAAGCTTTCTAAAATTCCATTTGTTTCAAAGCATTACAAATTCCCTTGTATAATCTGTGTAGAGATTAAACAATCCGATAGGAAGTAGTTTCACCTGATGTTTTCTAATTTTCAGATCACTTTCTCTTTTTACCAGTTGTGTTGTCCAATACAATGTTGAAGAGAACGTTCTCTACTATTGGTGAAATTATTAAGGCCACTCCACATAGTTAAAAGGGAGGTTTATTTTGTGAGGTAACTTACAAGTGAAGGGATAGTTTACAGGGTCTGGGAAAGGTGTAGCGCAGTCTGGCAGTGTTCTCTGGAGAACTCTGCTAGGTCTACCTCCAGCGTCCAGGGTCCAGGAATCAAGAGAGCCCACGCATCCGGATCTTGGGTCTTCAGGGTCCTCTCTCGGCCCTGCCTTGTAGGCGTGACAGTTACCAAAGCCTCAATGGGGATTGGAACTTCCAGATCAAAGCTGGAATGGCTACCCGTACACTCTACCTTGTTTATTGTCTGAAAGAGGCCAGCATTACACCAGCACAATGGTGGAAGATGCTAGACTCAGTTTTGGCTCATCTAGAGCATCTCTTCTAAGCTTGCTGTGACTTTTTTTTTTTATCACAAATTGGTTCTGACTGTTTACAAATGACTTTTCTTCCCCACCCTAGGAATGCTATGATATTTATCACTATGTCTATTGGTGTCATAAGACACATGTACAAGGTCTAGTGTTGACTTGTCACTTGGTTGTTGTGATAAATTCATTTTAACTATGTTTTTAAAGTTGACTTATATCCATCTGAATTCAATTTACTAACATCTTGTTGAGGACCTTGCTTCTATATTGAAAATAGATTGACCTACATTCTGGTCAGTAGTCTTCTGTAATGAAAATAGATTGACCTACATTCTGGTCAGTAGCATCTTTGATTTGTTTTGCATTGAGGTTACAAAGGCACAAGAAAGTGGGTTGATTTTCTTGATGGTAATTTTCACTTTCTATTCTCTGAAAGGATTGGAATAGAATAGCTGCTTTGTTCCTTGAAATTTGATGAAGTTCAGTTGAGATTTGTCAGAATAAAAGACATTCAATTACCAATTCTACGTCTATTGGTTTATTGTTATTAACTATTATTACATCTTATGTAATACATACTATATTATATAATATATAAATAATTAGTTTATAAGTTATTATAAACTTCTAGTTGATTATTATTTTATTGTTAAATTTAATATTATTTAAATATCAAAAGTTTTTATTATTCAATTTAATTATTAACAATTCCAAACATGTATATATTACAATCTGATCACACTTACCCTCTCCAGTTGTCAGTGTGTGTGTGTGTGTGTGTGTGTGTGTGTGTGTGTTTGAGAAAAGACATTCTAGGCTATTTTATTTTCCCTTCAACAAGAATGGGAAATGGGAATTAACATTTATTGCATACACACTACAAATCAATTATTGATAAAGTGATTGATATCGTGCTTATTTTACAGAAAAAGAAACCAAAACTAAGGTAAGGTAGATGCTTTGACCACTCAGAGCTCTAGCAAGGGGTAAGCTTAAGTATGTATGATAGCCAAATCCTAGACTTTTCAGCACAAATACCAAGGCCATCAGTAGGAAGCTGTGTTGGTTTGAATGAGAATAGCCTCCACAGGTTCATATGTTTGAATATATGGTCTCCAGTTGATGGAACTGTTTGGGAAGTTAGGAGGTGTGGCCTTATCGAAGGAAATGTGTCACTAGAGAAAGGTTTTGAGGTTTCTCCTCTTGAGTAAATGAGCCCGTCTGAAAGCCACATGCTCTATAAAACAGCTGTTCATGATCTGATTATTTTCTCCAAGTACCATAGAATAGTAAACACTGTAAGAAACCTTTGAAATGGACTCAGATACAGCAAGAATTTGACAGGACCACCAAAAGTGAGAAACATACAAACAAACAAAAAACAGTAAACTCATGTCTTCTGCCTTGGATCATACTGCCAACTATAGGAGAGCTTGTTAGGATCTGACTTTGCAAAGAGTCATTCAGAGCTAATTCTCTCACTCTCAACCCCTCTCTCACAGTGTACTCTTCTCGACCTCATGTTTTTGTTTTTTGTTTTGGAAAGCTGTGATACAATCACTCACCCCTTGCTGAGTAATGACTAGAGAGTAACCTAAAAAGCACCACAGGAGATCCTCACTTCCAACTTCCCACAAGGAAGGCACCAAGTCTGGGTGCCTGCTGAGGATGTATTTAGTATTTCTGACAACTTCATAAATGTATATACTGAATTTTGATCATTTTTACCCCATGTTATCTTCTTTCCTCTCCCCCTCTTTTCCAGTGAAACTTTTTTCTCCACAAGCCCATAAGGATTGTTTTCTAGAGACCAATAGGGTCAATTATTCTGGAGATATCACAGGGAAAAAAAAGTTGTTTTTTACTACCTTGATTCTGTGCCTCTCCCTAGTACCTTCCACAGAGCCCCCTTCACATCCTTGTTTCTCAGGGTATAAATCAGAGGGTTGAGCATGGGGGTGACTATGGTATAAAAAAGGGCAACAAACTTCCCCTCATTCTCAGAATAACTGTCATTTGGTTGCAAGTATGTGTAGATGGTTGAGCCATAAAACATAGACACCACCAAGAGGTGTGATCCACAAGTCCCAAAAGCTTTTCTGCGGCCAGATACTGACTTGACCTTCAACACAGCCCTGGCAATGTGTGCATAGGATCCTAGAATCAGTGTCGCAGGGAAAACCAAGATTATGGCTCTGGCCACAAACATCTTGGCCTCTGTTCCAGCTGTGTCCTTGCAAGCCAACTTGAGGAACACAGGCATCTCACAGAAGAAATGATTCAGTCGATGGCCACAGAGAGGCATAGCCATCATGAGACCTGTCTGGATCAGGGAGTTCACGAGGCCTGCTACCCACGATGAGATAGCCAATGCTTGGCACAGAAGAGGGTGCATAATAGTTGTGTAGAGGAGTGGGCGACACACAGCAGCATAGCGGTCAAAGGCCATGACCACTAGAAGCATACTCTCTGTGGAGCCCAGGGCAAGGACGCTGAAGAGCTGGGCCACACACCTTCCATATGTGATAGTGTGGTCATGTCCCTCAATATTGATCAGGAGCTGGGGCACAGTGCTTGTGGTATAGCAGAGGTCCAAGAAGGAGAGATGGGAGAGAAAAAAGTACATAGGTGTGTGCAATCGGAGGTCCAGTTGGGAAAGAGCAATGATGGTGGTGTTGCCAAAGATAGTTAAGGAGTAAAAAATCAAAATGTAGATGAAAAGAATGAGTTCTAATTGAGGCCAGTCTGAGAAGCCCACCAAAATGAAGCCTTTGCCCAAACTGGCATTGAAGCTTCCCATAGCCTTTGACCTGCACAGCAGCAGAAGACAATTCAGGGCATCTGTTGAAGAAAACATATTAAGACATTGTTCATAGCATTCTTCAAGTAATCACAAATTAATCTGTTTTATTATTCAATTCTATTTTATCCAGTCTTTTATTCTTATTTTTCTCTTCTACAAACTGAATTAGGAATGATATCATCTTTGTTTGAACTGTAGCTCAGCTATTTGCTCTAAGACTTCAGCCTGGTCCTTCAGACTTGTGGATCCAATCTTTCTTATTCAAAAGTTAAAAAGTGCTTTGAAAATCTAAGGTCTATTCGTTAGCTCATTTCAGATTTGAATCCAGGCCCAGCCAGGAGGCAATCACAGTTTTGACCCCTGGGTTCTCATCTGCCTCCTTCTACACCATGGATACTGTCAGTGAACCCATCCTAGAAGCCCCACTCACAGTAGCTGCCATCTGTCACAGAAGACTGAGAAGTAGTTTCACTTCTTTGGAGAGAAAAATAGCAAGAAATGTGTTCCTTGGGACTTGACCCTGCTTCTTTAGCTAAAAATGTTCACAGTTCAACTCCACAGAAAAAGCTGTTTTCTCCTCTCTACCCAAGCCCTCTTTGAAACTATTTCCTTCTGTTCACTTGATGACACTCATGCCACACGTCTTTGTCCTTCTAGAAGCTCCTCTGTGGTAGGGGACAGGCCAAATATAAAAATAAGTATTAGTGCATATCACAGAAATAATAAATAATGAATAAATATCATCACATGCCTTTCTGGTACTGAAGGTGTCAAATGAATGTCACTTTCATTCCAGATACACCATGGCTGTTGAATAAACTTTCTTCAGTGCATCATGTGCCTTCACCTTTTTAGAGCTCGAGAGATTTACCTGCAGATGAACTGCTAACACACCAACAAACGGTAGAGGCGTGATAGACATAAACTATCACTCTCCTCAAAAGATGGACACTTCTTATAAAAATATAAATAAGATTATATGAAAGCATGCCAAAGAGAGAGAAAACCAGAAATGTCATTCCAAAATCTAGCCTATGATTAGAGGAAGACATTTTTGCATACTTAACTAGTTCTTTTTGTGTCAAGTTTACTAAACTGGAATATTGTCATCAATGAGTCAAGGCTGAACTTAAGGCCCTTAGGTCCATATCATGGCCCCACAGATCAGCTCTATCATGGGGCAGCTGTGCTTCCTGCTCTGAAATATTTTCTTCCGTGAGTCTCAGCTTAGTTACCCATAAAACAAAGGGAAGAGCTGGCTCCAAGCAATTTGGGTTGTGGTTACATGAAATAATGTGTCATGTGTATTACAAAAAGTTGTTTGTTCTCACTGTTAACACTGTTCTGCCTTCATAATTAGCAATTAACTTGTGCAAATTAGGCTGCATGATTCACTCAGCATTGTACGTCCAACTCGTACTGCAGTAGCTGGAAAATAACAAACAATATTATTGATTGGATGAATAAATAAATGAATGGATGAATGTATTTTTAATCCTGGCACCATGTCTGATGTACACGAATGTCTCAGCATATCTGCACTGTTCCTCAGTGGCACAGGGCTTTTTATTCACTCCTATTGTGTACGTCTAACAATAATTTCATATTGTGGCATATAGAAATGAATCATATTTTTCATCTTTAAATTTTGTGAGTATGGGTGTTTTGTCTGCATGTATTTCTGTATGTATGCTGTGTATGCCTGGTGCCCACGGAGTCCAGAAGAAAGCACTGAATTCCCCAGAACCAGAATTACAGATGCCTGAGGGTGTTGGGAATTGAACCCAGGTCCTCTGGAAAAGCAGCAAATGCTCTTAACAAGTGCTCTTAACCACTGATCCATCTTTCCAGTCCCCAATTATTATATTTTCAATGAGCAAAACTTAGCACTATAATTCTAATATGATAGTCAAATGAACAATGATTCAAGATATTTCAATATGATAAAATTCAGAGCATTACATCAGCAATGATCATTTTAATGAATAAAAAGCTCGGATAATTTTGAAGCAGAGGTATTAATACTTTCTGCTGTCAGCTAGATGCTCTACCCAGGGCTGGCAATACTCAGAAGAAGCCAGGGGCTAAATGGGCTGACCCAGAAGCATATATCTCTAAACCCTAAAAACTAGGGACTCCAGGCTTTAGAAGCCAACCTTATGGCTTCTGGGTTAGGTATGGGAGCCACCTAGAACCTATCTCCAATTAATAATCACTTGCAAATAAAAATGTAGTTTTCTCCAAGGGAATCTCACTGGGGAAACAAGCTACTCTTAAGGGTAGGCTGCATACCCAGCAGTAGATGGCCAACAGGAAACGAATTCAATGGCGTCGTTGGAGGTTCTTTGACTCCTACTGTCATGTCAGGAATTTTTTTAATTTTAATTTTATTTTATAGTTATATATTTTTCTATCTTTTTACCCTACAGGTCCTTTGCATATATATTACGACTTCCAGGTTAGTATTTTTATGTGATTCCTGAGTGCGCACACAAGCAGGTTTCTGTGTCTGCATCTGTTCCTTGCATCTTTTCTTGTGCTCTTTTCCTTCTATTTATGTTTTGTTCTATTCTGATATGATAGTTTTTGTTTTATCTTACATTATATTTGTTTTCTAATACTTGTTTTCTAATGAGACACAGAAAGGGCACAGTGAATCAGATGGGAGGGGAGGTGGGGAGGAACTGGGAGGAGTACAAGGAGGGGAAATCAGAATCAGAATCTATTATGTGAGAAAAAAATCTATTTTTAATAAAAAGGAGGGAAAAAGAACCCAGCCTTATGGCTATAGATCCTGTGACTGGAAGCTTAGTGCTCTGGGCTTAAATACCAGAGGCCCCAGCACTTCGTGCCTATGTAATCCTTAGCTTCCAGCATCAGTGAGCAGCAGTGGGAGGCGGCAGCAGGCTGCAGTGGGAGCAGGAGGCGGCAGCAGGCTGCAGTGGGAGCAGGAGGCGGCAGCAGGCTGCAGTGGGAGCAGGAGGCGGCAACAGGCTGCAGTGGGAGCAGGAGGCGGCAGCAGGCTGCAGTGGGAGCAGGAGGCGGCAGCAGGCTGCAGTGGGAGCAGGAGGCGGCAACAGGCTGCAGTGGGAGCAGGAGGCGGCAGCAGGCTGCAGTGGGAGCAGGAGGTGGCAGCAGGCTGCAGTGGCAGCAGGCTGCAGTGGGAGCAGGAGGTGGCAGCAGGCTGCAATGGGAGCAGGAAGAGGCAGCAGGCTGCAGCTGCCCTTCTTGGGGATAAGTAAGGGAAGTTCTTCCCTTCTGCCCTGAGTGAAAGTGATTGCTAGATTTTTTCAAGGCTTGTGATGACAAAAATCTAAAATCTAGCTTAAGGTTCTTAAAAGAATTGGCACTGGAATAAGTAGCAGGAGTGGTAGCATGCCTTCCTCAAAGCATCTGTAGTACGTTCAGAAGAGCTGAGCTGCCGTGAGGGAAGTCGGACCCGCTGCCATTGAGTGGCAGCTCGGCGGATTGTCCTCCACTCAAGGAAGCCATTTGATCATTTTCCCCCTTCCCTTTTCTCCCTCCAGACCCTCCCATAAACCAACCTGTGCTCTCTTTCATCTCTCTTTCATTAATTGTTGTTGCATATATATATGTATATTTACATGCATATATATTCCTAAATATAACCTGCTTGGGCTGTATAATGTTACTTGTATGTCTGTTTTGTATGTCATGTATCCCTGTGACGACCATTTGGTGTGGACGGCCATCAGAATGTTTTCCTTTTGAGAATTCCTTCTACTTCCTAGTCCCAAGGGCCCTGCTGAGATTGGATAGTCTTCAGAACTAAATATCCAAGATCAGCTGAAGTATCTTAAAGCCCCCATAAGACTGATGTTAAGGACACCATGTGTTCACCATAGGTGATCTCACCTTGCCTGCATTTGACACACTTCTGCTGCTTAGAACCAGTAATTGCATTTATGATGCATTATTAATGCTTCATAGAGTGTTTTCCCACCCTTCCCTGGGCTCCTGGCTGAGATTTGCTCACATCCACTTCTACTGATCACAAAGAGAAGACCTCAGCTTAGCCAATTCCCTTTGAGTCTTTCACCTTTCTAGAACAGTGGCACATTACTCCTCATGTGTACTTGGCATCGGGTTCCTGGTGAATTCCATGCAGTGAAGCCAGGAGTGTGAGCCCACCAGCAGGCTCCACTCTATAAAATGAGTGAGCCAAAGGGCAGAACTGGGCTTCATGTAAATGGCGCTAGTGCACGCGGCTGAGAAGGGTGAGAAAGTTCTCATGACAGGACCATACACAATAACCACAAGGCTCCTTCCTAACAGTGACAGTCCCCCTTGCACTGAAGGGAGGACTGTACGTAAACTATATGTAGACTGTATATAAACTATATGTAAACTTTACCGAATGCCACGGTCCTCCAGTGGAGGTGGGAGTTTCAAAATGACCGTTTCCTTAAGAATTTCCCATATCTTCTTCCAGCAAAGGAAGAAAATTAGGTCAGGCTGATATAACTGGTCCCTGGTGGCTCCTGCGCAGCCATTTAATATTTACAGAGGATCCTTCTGTATTTTCATATTTTTTTTTAAAAAAAGTATACTATCCGGTGCTTCTAAAACACCAACTAGCCATCTGAAGGCATCTTGGGTGAGAACTGGATGCCTTCATTGCACATTTTAGATTAAAAAAAACAGGATGGTTAAAAATAGGTGTGGTTGCTTACATGCAACTTTAAATATTTCTCATATAGAAAAGGTGATGGCCTTTCTTTGTTCTTCACAGGGCAGAATGAAGACCAATGCTTGAAATGTAACAAAGACCAAACAGGCAAAAAAAACCAACCAAACAAACAAACAAACAAAAACAACAACAAAAAAAACACTGAGAAATTCTAAGAGTAGCAGTCTCAAAGTGCACATTTCTCTACTGTTAAATTATATTTTAAAATGCAAACTCTACTCACAATCTCCTTAAGAAACACAAAGAAACCCGACATCTGCATGTTTGACACTGCTGGTGGTCTTGA